CGTACCTGGCCATTGCGTTTGCCAGTGACCAGCGACACGGCGTTTGCTTGAAAAACTGCTATGTATCTACCCGGAGTACCCAGTTGAGGGATTCGCCCCATTTCGCCATAGTCCCGAACAGCGGAGGTTACTACTATTACCACATTGTTTATTGCAATCTGTGCATCAAATGTTAAATCGAATTTAATGACGGTGTTGCCTACAAAGAAGAACAAAAGAGCCAGTTCTGCCTACAAAGTAGAATTATCTCGGGTTTTTTGCCCTCGTCGTTGTCGCCCATCGTGGGGTGTAATCGCCCCCAATTCGTTGCACTGGCTCTTGTAGTTAAACGTGTAACGTAAATCAATAAAACGTCTCATGCACCCGAGATAAAATCGGGCGCTGATTCATGGCCGACGCCGTGGCACGCCGCCGCCGGGATCGTTTGCAATCCATGCCGAGCAAGTGATCCTACTGCATGAGGGCGATACATGCATGTCATGTGAAGTTGATTCATCCATTACATTACACCACGGCGGCAGCAACAGAGTCTACTTCCCCTGCGCCGTCGTCGTTGCCTTCGTCGTCGCTGTCTTCGACGTCAAAGACATAAATAATTTCGAGCTGGTCGACGTCGTCAGGAAAACGGATCCGTTTTCGGTGCCCTTTCCTTGGTAAGTCAGCGTCCATGCTGCGCTGAAACTCCTCTGGAATCCGCATCCGAGCATCGTGCAACTTGCGGCTGAGCTGCCCTTCCGCTGCCCGCTTGCGAATACTCTTGGCGCGCGACAAGATGTCACCTGTAACCTTGATGCGGTGGGATGCACTGTTTTGGCCTTTGTACCCACCAAGAAATGCCACCACGTTCTTGTTCACTGTGGCTTTCTGCTTGAGCTCCCGAGTCCTTGCGGACTCTGGCGCGCGAGATGACACCAAGTCCACATTACGTAATGAGCTGAAAATGCTCTCGTCCAATTCTTCTTCGCCATCGGCCAGGTCTGTGGTGGTGTTTGGTGGTTCTGGAGGGGGTGCCTCGGACTTTGGAATGGGGGACACTTTTAAAATCGACCTGACTGACTTGGACGATCGCGTCGGTCGATCTGAGTTGGACATCATTGCCTTGGGGTTATTTTCAGGGAGATATGAAGCTCCAGGCGGGGAAATTGCAGAGAGAGACGACCGCATTCTTGAGTTGGTGATGGCACAAAGCTTGGACGCAGTCGACGTTGACGGAGGAGCAGACTTTGGTGGAAAAGGAAGTGGGATGGGTTTCGGAGGAGAAGGGAGGGATGTAGCTGAAGATAGACGGCGCGAAGTCTTGGGTTGCAGCTGAAGCACGTCGATTTCTCGCAGCAGCGTCGGTGGCTTCGTCGGTTTCGAACTGGTCGCTGCCCTGGACGACGACGACGCATTGGGATGTAGAACTGTCTTTGGCGGCAATGTGTACGACGAGTCTGCGAGGGTTTGGCCCAATGACCCTTCCTGAGGAGATGAAAAGGATCCTCGTCGTGTTGCTCGTCGGAACCCGAGGAGGCCATTGTTCGGGTTCACGCGTAGGGACATGGCGTTGGCGCGAGCGTACGTGTGTACAAATTCTGTGGGGGATGAATCATCATCGTCGGTGGTGTCTACTGGGGAGTTTGGGGGAGTCTTTGTTGCACCTGCGTTGGCTGAGTTGACATGAATCAAGTCTTGCCATCGCATGCACATGGAGACGGGGGTGTCGACGTCGATTTCAAACCCACCAGTCGGGTCGTCGAAGTCGTCGTCAAGCGATGCTGTGGTCGAGACACTGGATGCGTCCTGCGAAGTCGCTACAACAGTACTCGTTGATTTGTTGCAATCTCGCGGAAATCCCCGCAGACTCGAGCTCCGACTGGCGGTGGGTGAGAGTAAGTGCAGCTGCTGAGCTATGTTGTAGTGGAGTGGATTTTCTACGTCAGAGTTGGGAACAGTTAGCCACCGCTACCTCATTTCAAATATACCAGCAGTTGAATCATAGCTCGGCGACGAACATGGCGTTGCTGGAACAGGCACCGAGTGGATGGAGATCGTCGACATGGAGTCTGCCGCCCCGCCGCGCGGAATCGAAGCAAATGAGGAACTGCAAAGGAGACACCTCTTACCAACCTCTACACGACGAAGTCACTTGAAGTTTGTATACCGGCAACACAAGAGGCGTTCTCCGGATGGTGTAAACAGTCCGGATAACCTATCCTTCCGGATGAAACAGCCAATCAACAGTGTGCAATGCAGCTTGCTGAACTAGCACCTGGAAATGACACGGCGAATCATTGCGTATGTCCCAGGAAATTTAGTGAGTTTTGTCGAATGGGACGTATATGTCCACAAAATCGCTCAACATTTCGAGGGAAATTAGTACTCCGGAGTAAAAAGCAACGACGAGGAGTTCCCAATTCGATATTGCTACATCACGCAAGCTGGTCGCTGCTCCCTAGCGGCCGGACATATGAGTAGTGACCACCGATATGCACTGGATATAGCAATCGACGCGCAAACCACAGCGACACAACACCAGAAAGGCAGTCTGCCCAACCCATTTGGTTCCAGTATGCAGAACTTTCCTTCCCTGGGACCTGGAAATTTATGTGTCGTCAAGGAGATTTCAGTTCAGCCAGGTGATATGTCACAATTCGCCGACATTCTGACCTCTTTTATATTTCCTAGGTAACTGTAAATTAGGTTCCATACTCTTCGTACAATTCTATTGATATATATTTTGTTCATGAAATCATATTTACGACAAATACTAAACCTCTACAAACCATTTCAATAATGAATAGAGTGATTTTGCAAAAATCGAAATTTGGAGATTTTCCCCGTGAGGTGTAAAGACACGCGCGAATACGGAAATTTGTTTCTAGAATTTCCCTGTGAAAAATTCTCACTGTGAAAACCTTTTCACACTCACCACTGGACAACGGAAGTCGAATGAGCGAGCAAGACGACGCAAATAAGCGCAAAAAGACAGCATTCCGCTACTCTGTGTCAGCGGACATTGACCTCCTTAAGGAGGTTGTAATGGTAGCCCCCTATGACGCACGCTACGGGCAAACATCCGCGCGATGGGAGGAGATTTGCGACCACATGCGCCAGCTCCACGGGGACTCCCTCACCACAGCCAGCTGCAGGAAGAGGTTTGACGATCTGCTGTCAGCCTTCAAAAAGTCGACCCTTAAAGCGCTCCGCGCCTCTGGAACAGAAGAAGAGTACGTAGAGCGTGACCAGCTCATGCAGGATATCTCGGATATGGTATAAGCCGACTACTGTGACGATGTGTACTGAATTGTCCTATTAGATGGATGTTGCATTGCACAAACGCTGCGACTAATGGAAGTACTTCGTGTCCATCGGCCATGTCTGTGAATGAAAATTTCCGTTTGCAAAACCAACTGAATGTCAAATTTCCGGATTGACCTTTCCAGAAAAGTCTATGTAGAATTCAACATCTGCAAAATCGCTCTAATATCAGACATAAAAACATAGAAATATGAGAAGATGAAGTGCAAACAGTTCATTATCTACGGCCCTAACTCGAGTCTATTGCCAATTCAGACTCGGAATGCAACACCATTGGATAACTTTGAAAATTTCGTTTGTGTCACCACACATTATCCGAGTCTCCGTCGACAGAGGCGGCACCAGTGCCACCCAGCGCAAGATCAAGCTACTTGCTCACAGTCAATACAAGCGCAGTGAATGTGATTATGTTGCCCAAGCAACAACTTACCAAGTGACGCTCGAAGCAGCAGTATATTCCCTCGTCAAGACTTTGACCAAGCCTAGTTCGACACCTTCACGGCAATCAGGTTTGGAATTGAAGTATTTGTCAAGTTGAAATCAGACTCGGTGTAAGGAACAATTGTAATTATGACCCTCCCGAGACGACTGGACTACAGCATAGTGAAATGCCATGGTAAGGCAGGGTATGATCTCTAGTGAGTCTGTTCACCCCTTGACCCAGCGCATCGTACACTACTGTAGACACCACGGCAATTCAGTTCGTTTTGCAACACAACACCTATACCACAGTCTGATGCAAAACGTTAAGACACTTCTGATATCGCCCAAATCTTGAGCAACAATAGCGTGTGCGAGGAGGCGTTGATGTTCTTATAATTCTCTTGGGCTCCAAAGTGAAAGCAACTCAAACCTGCATTTCAAAATTGCTGAAAAAACGTACGACACACAAAATTCGAAAATTCGTTAGTGCGCAACATATATATATAAGCGAGTATGGGCAGCGGGGGCATATAGTCGGAATTCGTCGTGATATAGGCAGACGAATCCTGATGGCCTACCAAGTATGCCTGCTCGGACTTTCCATCAGCCCAAATTGCTCCCCACTCCATTACCGAGCCGCCACAATTTTGGCGACTGAATGTGACCTTTACGTCACGTCCAATGCTATGTCAGTAGGATTTGAGGGCATCGGGACCATCATGGTTTCACTTGTTCTCATCCGAGGAGATAATGCGACTCCAGGAATCCCAATCGATGTCGACGTTTTGTTCCGCCCAACGCACGCTCTCTTGCATTTGTTTTTCGGTAATACGTGGCTTCTTGTTCTTCATCAGGTATTGAAATCGTGTGGACGAGATGAGCAGGCGTGAGATGTTCGCTCGGTAGACGCAGAGGTTGAGCTCGTGTTGGATTCGGTTGCAACTTTGGGGTGCCCTCGTAAACCAGGAGAATTTGTGGCGCATGTCATTGTCACTGAGCTTGGCTTACCGTACTTCGTTGGGACCCGGAGGTAGTTGTATACAACTGTACGACTTCGACAGATGAAGTTAGCTGTCTCACCTACACTTAGGCCGGATTCGACGCACACTTCGATCTTGCCTTTCTCAAGCTCTATCAGCTGCGCGGCATGGCCCATATCTCGGTTGTCGTGTGTCGTCAAGGCTGCGGAATGGAAACTCAGGTCAACAGACTTGCTGTGAGGAAGGTACTTCATTTGAATACTTCTGGGCGGGAAGTTTTGCATCATGTTTTTAACAATTTGCGCAGGATTTGAAACAGTGTTTTATACATTGCTTGTGATTTTTCCATTCAACTTGTGTGCAATAACTCATGTATTCTTGTGCTTTTTAGGTTGAATCAACACTACCTTCCGAAATAGATGCCTCTTCATATTTGATGAGATAGATCAAATTGAAATTATGTCTTTATATATGCATTAGACTTTAGTATCTCCAACTTGCGTCTTTGTGCCCTACAAGACAGTGCTCGTCAGGTGGAAAGAGCACCCTATATTTCACAAAGAAATCCCGCCAAGTTTTGCCACGGACGATCTGAATTCAACGTTCAAATCAACACAATTGGTGGACTTAAAGCGAAGATTTTTAGATCAACCTGGAGATCATACATATCGCTGACAGTGACATGATACGTTTTTCGCAACCGCGCCAAAGAATTAAAGCCACTACACAATTGAAGTCATTGTAACGTTACGGTCTAGCCACTGCTTTTTGACTTGTGTCCCTTGCTAGGTAATCGTTACAGCACACAATGAATACCTCTATGCTGTAGCATGGCTAAAGATGCCTAACTTACACCTGCTGAATGAGGCTTGAATTTGGCCTTTCACAAGGCCGAATACTCCAACCGTGCGATCGCACGAGAGCTAGGACGCACCAAGTATGTCGCTCGATGCTTTATGCGTGACCCTGAGGTTTAATGCATCAAGTACTATGTCATGAAGGCCAAAGTCCTCGTCGATGCGGCCAGCCGCCTATTACTGTGCGAGTCGTCCAAGCAAGGGCTGTCTGCAAGAATACTGAAGACAGGCCACAACGCGGACGTCTCGTTAAGATCGTCAATGGCGCTTACAGAAGTGCAGCTAATGAAATACGAGAAGGGGAAGCACTCCCCCAAAGCTCCAAGCAGGCACGTCAAGGCTTGGTTGGAGTACGCCAAGCGCCACCTCGATGAGCCAACCAACTGGACTGAGATCATCTGGTCCGACGAGAAGTACTTCATTGAAAATGATTTTGTAAGTATCGAAATCAAAGGCTCTCCTTCCTGCATGGGCACATAAACATCAAGTTTCGTCCTTCGAATTCGGTAGTGACTCGCGAAAACGCTCAATCGGCCTCTGATTGGTCAGAACTATCAACGTCCTCAACCGATCCTACCAGCTTTCGTCTGTACCAACATTAGACGGGCTCAGCAAAATGGCCGGCTCCCGGCAATCCTCTACAGGGGCAGCATATGCCAACTCGGGGCGTGTTTTTCACTCATGTCACAACGCCGGCGATTATTTGAAACCTGACAGAAGTAGGGAGATCAAACAATGAGGCGTCGTGTGGAACCACTATTACAACAAACAACCGTGGGTCAGATTACAACCAAGGGATTACAGTCAACGACGGATTTTAAGGGACACTTTTACTTCGAATTCTGCATGATACTGGCGAATGATTGGGCAAATTAATTCGAAATTCGATTCATTTTGTGGCCTACCAGGCACAAGCAATTTCGTTTCACGAATTTCAAATACTGGAATACTTTATATTGACCGGTTCAATAGAGCAGCGGGAAAGATACGCGTTTGACGCGATAGCGCAGTGGTTAACAAGTAAAGCTGCGTCGAAATTCTTCCGGTTGTGGAATTGCTTTAGTAAAGCTGCGTCGAATTTCTTCCGGTGTAATAAGAGCACATGCCATAATGGCACGGTGAATCATAACCAGACGCTTTTTTGCGCTGGGACAGTCATAAGATCTACCTCCTCCTCACTATCGCTACCCTCAAAAAGGTCCTCTTCTAACCACAGCCTACGCAAATGACGTTTAAACGGGGCCATAATCCCGACATCCAGAGGCTGCACAGTGCTCGTCGCGTTTGGTGGAATGGCCGCCACAACGCAATCCGCCTCTTCAGTGGCAATCTTCATTCCTTCCTTGCTCACATGTGGGTCAAAATTGTCAACTGGAGCACAGATGGATCTCTCACCTGTGGCTTCAACACTTTTCGAAGGTATATGGCCCAGACTCGAGAATCCATCCAAGCTCGTTCTTGGACAGCATAGAAATGTCCAACAGGAATGGTCTCATACACCGTTTCTTCGATAGGATAGCCTTGCTTGCCCCGCATGATAAACAAGATGGGCAGCTTCTCTCCGTTCGCTCGAGCTCCAAGAACGGCTGTCATCCGATATGAGTGCTTTTCTCCGCTTGCAACTTTCGACGTACCGCCGCGAACCGACCAAATGGCATGTGGAGGCATGTCGTAAGACATGCCGGTCTCGTCCACGTTCATCACAGCCGCGGGATCGAAGCCAGCAAACGCCTTGTGAAAGTCCACGGCAAAGTCAGTTCGAATTGCAGTCAGGTCGGCCTGAGTTGTCTTGGAACGCGACGGCTTTTGACGCGAAAATCCGTGACGAGCGCAGAACCTTTGGAGGAGTTTGAGAAGGGATTGGTAGCCTTTGGTCTTGTTCCGGAGGTACGCGGATAGCCAATCTGAATGGTAACGCTTCAGGTAGTTGACGAGATGGGTGCAGTTCACCGCACGCTCGGCCTCGCGGAGCTTGACCATGAAGGCTTTCAAGGCAGCAGTGTCAGGGATCACTTTTGGCCTGTCGGCACCGTCGAGGTTGAACCGCTTGCCGCTGCCATCAAAGCTCTGTAGCTTTCCCGACTGCTTCGCCCAACGAGCAAGATTGCTCTTCGGGATCCCAGTTGCTGCCTGAAGGTCGCGGGTGGAAGCGGATCGAAGGGCGGTGACCATTGCGCGCTTTAACGCCTGGTTGTAGCGGCGTCTGGATTTCTTCTGGGGAATGATGTTGGTACGGCACCTTGGGGGCATAAGAGGAAATGACTGACGAGCTTGTGATGACTGGCAAGGGCATGAGCGCGCGAATATTAAATGTTTCGCGCCAAATTATATTTTTGTCCAATTAAATCTCATTATTTTCACTTCTTGGATTTAATTGGTTAAAATGTTTCCACTTGGTTGAAAACTTCGGCTGTCCCTTAAAATCCGTCGTTAACTGTATTCTAGTAGGAGGGTGGGGTAGAGCCGCCCGGGAACACTCGACCAAATTTTACTCTTTGCTCTCCATATTGCTGCAGTCTTGGCGTTGGTTGCAGCCGTCACGCTGGCCAACGCGTCGTCCGACGTCGTCCGGTCGTTTGCAACGACGTGAACATCCGACGTCATAATCTCGTTCGTTGGGCTCTGACCTGGTCACCTTCCGGAGTCCGCATCGAACGACCGTAACCAAAACGTGTACAAGGTCTTTACAGTTTACTCAGCCCAGCCATAAACTGAAGTCGCGGCCGTGCTAAACGTGGCCACTTAACTGGGAGCACTTTTGATCGCGACGGCCGTGCACCGCGGCGTGACCTAGGACCAAGTCGATGAAGTAGCCCGTCTCCCCACATCAAGATCGTCGACATCCCGGACGATAATCAAATGATGCAGCCCAAATTTTGAAGGAAGAGGCGCCCATTCATGGCGACGTGAACTCGTCGGTGCCCCAGTGGGGAGTGATCGCGATCGGCGCGCATGGAAGGATGGAATGGAAAGGGTGTCGTCGTCGGGGCCATCCACAAGAGCACCGACCCACCCTCTGAAGAACAATTGACGCTCGACTAAGACTGGTTCGATCGTACAACGACACGGCCATCGCACATTCTTTTGGCTCGGACCAGCACGGCAAGCATAAGGTCGGGACGGTGGTCGACAGCAACGTAATCGGCGGCGTAGCCCCCGAATCGTCGAAGATTTCTTACATTGGTCGAGGACGTCGAAGTGGGGCTATTTCATTGTGTGCCCTACAAAGTTGGACGATATCGAGCCTGACTGCAAGCATGTGTTGTCCTTTACCGGTGTTCGTAACCTGCCACCGTGTTCGGACCAGTGGACTTCAGTTGACAAATCGTGATGTGACATTATTCTCGAATTAGAAGTGATCTCTTCAGTCAGTGGACCTTCGTGGTACGTTGACTGCATCATGGCAAGCTGATTTAGCCAATTAGAACGCGCTCTGCTCAAGCATCGGAGGAACGGACGATGGGATACAAATTCTACCAGTACCGACTGCACACGTGGGGCACGTGTACGTCGGGCTCGAGGCTCAGCTGAGAACACTTCCTCCCCCCGGTCTTGAGGGGATGACCGCAGGCACACTCGACGGCCGCAATTAGGTCGCACATACCGTCGTCACTTGCCCGTGCCTTTACCCAACGACGGAGAACCATGGTAACGTCGTCGTAAACTGGCAGCACCGGCTCCAACGATGATACGACATCGTCCAAACCAAGCCATTTGACTTGCCACTCACCATCAAACTGACGGATGTCACGCAGCTCGTCAACATAAAATCCTTCATCACCAAATGAAATTTGTGTCTTGATGTGTTCGTCGACCTCGCGGCACAACTTCGCAGTACATTTTGAGGTGGCATACATGGTGCAACGAGGTGCCAAAGGGGGAAACCAACTGCTACTCCACCATCAGGTAGTCGGAAAGCACCTTAACGACAGGATACGGTCCCGACAATCGCAGAGACAGTTTGCTGGGGTGCTGGACAGTAGGAACAGCAAAAAAATCACTCAGCGCAAATTTCACGCGACGTAGGCAACGACGACGCCCGGGAGCCTCAGCGTGCTTTTTGGCAGCCGATGCTACAATGCTTTTGTGCATCCCATCCGTGCCAATCGATGGTTTGTTTGTATGTATGGCACGTCATAATGAACAGTACCATGCAAGCAAGTAAACCAGTGAACGCTGTAGTCGGGGCCACACCACCAAGTCGATCCGAGGGTTGATTATTCAAGGCAGACTGCACCATCGGTAGTAGTGACAACCACTCGTTGGGTCGCAGGCGCAATTCGCTGCACAACGCTTTCAACGCACGGACAATCAATCGGTTGACCACCTCGACCGTGCCGTTTGCCCATGGGCAATGCGGCGTCACAAAATGGTGATGTGAGGCATTTACACTTTCCACATGCGTTCCATCATCTCGTTCTTGAAATAGGATCCACAGTCGGACACCAATGTCGGTAGAGGCCAAACTAGTCCATCAGTGCGTCAGCCTTAGCTCGTGACGTGGCACACCCGCTAGCATGCAGTCGAACGAACCCGCTCATGCCGTCCTTGATCACCAGAAGGTGCTTGAAACCGTCTGCTGTCTCAGGCAATGACAGCCAGTCGAAGTGTATCAACTCTTTGGATGCGTCGCATGCAAGGCATTACCCCATGGTCACGGCATCATGTCGCCGTCAACTACCATACAATGCAGACAATCCTGCACAAAGCTCTTCACATCGGTCTTGAGTGTCGACTGCTCAAACAACACCGTAGCAACAGTGGCGTTCACACGTTGATGTCCGGCCACGCCGGCACGCGAAACGACGCATATGCTCACTGCGGGTCCGCCGCGTCGTCTGGAATCCACACCTGCGGCGGAAGCATGGCATCTTCGCCCCAGGCAAATCCGAGCAAGACTACGAACGTCCCGCGATAGCGTCTACTG